TGAGGGAGCGGGCCGATGCTCGCTTGTGGAGGGCCTCTTGGGCCGCTTCCTGGTGGCGCGCTGGGGCGCGCAAGGGGTCTCAGGAGCCGCGTGAAAGGCCAAGAGGCGGACGGACGTATTGGAAATTCGTGCTTCCCATCGAGAATGGGGCGGTTGTTGCTTCTTGATGGCTTCTTGGGACGCTTCTGGGTAGCGTCGCGAGGCGTCCCGGGGGCCTGTGGGGCTGTCGGGGGTTAGTGTTGGACGACTCGGAGCACTGTTGAACGACTTGGGCCGACCAGGAGGCCTTTTAAGAACCCTTTTGGCCAGTCTTGGGGCCCTCTTGGGACCGTCCTGCGGCTCTCCAGGGCCGTTGCTATGGTTTCTGGGGCCTTCGTGGGGCGCCCGGAGGCCGTTTTGGAACCCTCTTGAAAGCCTCTAGGGCTGTAGGGGGTCGATGTTGGATGCTTCTTGGGCCGTTGTGGGCCTCGTGGGAACCCGGGAGGCGAATGTACTGAAAACGCATGTTTTCCTGCGGGAATGGGACGTGTTTTGCTTCTGGAGGCCCTCTTGGGGCGCCTCGTGGACGCGTTTTCAAACGTCTTGGGGGCCTATGGGGCCGTCTGGAGGCAATTTTCGGCGGTTTGGACCGAATCGTCCCCCGCGTGGGCCGTCTGGGCAGCCTTTGGGGACCCTGTTGACCCGTTTGGGAGCCCTCTTGGGACCGTCCTGCGGCTCTCCCGGGCCGTTGCCATGGTTTCTGGAGCCCTTCTGGATCGCCTGGAAGCCGTCGTGGGGCCTGTTTGGGAGCCTCTCGGGCTGCAGAGGGCCGATCTTGGAGGCCTCTGGGGCCGTCGTGGGCCGCGTGGACGCCCAGAAGGCGACTGTGCTGAAAATGCACGTTTTCCCCAGGGAATGGGACGATTTTTGCTTCTGGAGGGCCTTCGCGGGGCGCTTCGTAGTACTTTTTCAAAAGTCTTGGGGATTGATGGGGCCGTCTAGAGGCAATCTTCGGCGTTTTGGAGCGATCTCTCATCGACTCGTAGCTCTCTTAGACCGTTCCGGGGCCCTTTTGAAGCTTTTTGGCCCGTTTTGGGGCCTCCTGAGACTCCAAGTGAGCGGCCGACACCTTTGCCCCCCCCCCCCTCCCCTCCAAACCGGCTGGACCGGGCCCCCAGGGGAGGGGTTTGGGGATGGGGAAGCATCTCACACGCCGTGACCCCAAGGGGTCGGCGGATTTGTTGTTTGCCGTCCCAAAGCCGCCTGCAGGGGGATGTGCCCGGCCTACCTAAGCCTAGCCTCTCCGCGTCAGCCTCTCCCTCCTGCTCCAGATGCTCCAGCTTCGGCGCGCACGGACATCCAGCGCCTGCATATTTTCGATACTGTGTCCCCGCAGGTCCCGACCCTTCACCCAGGGTCTGTTTTTCATCCCAGGTCGTGTTTGGGCGGCCCTTGGGCCCAGCGAGGGCCCCCCGAGGTTGAAAATGGGCAAACGCTGTCCGTCGTATTTTTTGAACGACTCGAGGGTGTCAGGGTCCCCGAATCGGCGCCCCCTCTCCCCGCGCCCAAGTGTAGGCTTGTTGCCAAATTGTCACGAGTCCTGCTCTTCGTCGTCGTCGCCGTCGCCGTCGCCGTCGTCGTCGTCGTCGTCGCCGTCGTCGTCGTCGTCGCCGTCGTCGTCGTCGTCGTCGTTGTCGTCGTCGTCGGCGTCGTCGTCGTCGTCGCCCTCCCCCTCCTCCGCGAGCTTTCGCGCTCATGAGTCGCACAGGGATCCAGGGTGTATCACGGGCTCCGGCCAATCCGCCGTGCTCTCGCGGGGCAGTCCGTCTGGACGTCTGTGGGCCCCTCGCCTCGCCCCGCGCCCAGGCGATCAGGGCACCTCGCCGTACAGGTAGCCGCACTCCGGAGTCTGAGCAGGCCAACGCACGGGGGCCGCTGGTGCGCCTCCTCGCCCTTCTCGCCCTCCTCCCTTTCCTCTTCCGCCATTTCCTCCTCCTCCTCCTCCTCCTCCTCCTCCCTTTACTCTTCCTCCCCCTTTCTCCTCCCTTACCTCTTCCTCTCCCTCCTCCTCCCCCTCCTCCTCCTGCTCTTCCTCTTGCTCGTCCTCTTTCTCTTGCTGCTGCTGCTGCTGCTGCTGCTCCTCCTCCTCCTCCTCCTCCTCCTCCTCCTCCTCCTCCTCCTCCTCCTCCTCCTCCTCCTCCTCCTCTCGCTGCTGGTTCTGCCCCTTCCTTCGGGAGGCCACGCGCCGTGAGCTGCCAGAGGTTGGCTACTGCTGGCCTCGTCCTCCTCCTTCTCCCGCAGCGGCGGAGGCGCTGTCTGACGAGATGCGCGCGGCCACTCCCTAAGATTCGGCGAGAGCGCGACGAAGAGCGGGCGTGCACCTCCTCCTCCTCCTCCTCCTCATCTCCTCCTCCTCCTCATCCTCATCATCATCATCATCATCATCATCATCATCATCATCATCATCGTCATTCGTCCTTTCCTCCTCCTCCTCCTCCTCCTCTCTCCCTCCTCTCCTCCTCCTCCTCCTCCTCCTCTCCTCCTCCCTCCTCCTCCTCCTCCTCTCCTCCTCCTCTCCTCCTCCTCCTCCTCCTCCTCCTCCTCCTCCTCCTCCTCCTCCTCCCCCTCCTCCCCCTCCCACCAGCGGATGAAGTGCGGCCCGAACAAAAAGGTTTCTTTCCCGTCATAAAAGGGGGGTCATCTTGCACCCGTGCGGTAGCGCTTGGGGGCAGAAGCTTTCCAGCCGCCCCAAAACGGACATCCGCGGCAGCCGTCGGGGGTGGGACGACGCTGCTGCCGGGACGCTCGCGGGCGGGGCTGCGGCCGGTTTTGGCGCCAGCGGGAGCAGGACCGCCGCATGCAGGCTACTCTTTTCGTCCGCTGATCCTTCTCTTCCATCGCATCCGTGTGTGATCCCAGCCTTTGCCCGCGCGGCTTCACGCCGGCTCTCGAGGGCTCGGCCCCGCACACTGCAGTGGAGTCGCACAGAGGACCCAGCAACAGCATGGCGATGCTCGCATTCTGACGCGGTCCTCCTCCTCCTCCTCCTCCTCCTCCTCCTCCTCCTCCTCCTCCTCCTCCTCCTCCTCCTCCTCCTCCGCCCCCTCTTTTTCCAGCCACCTCTGCCTCCCTCTTAGTAAGGTTTCGGTCTGCGCGCAGGCAGCCCCCGCGGGTAGTCCCGGCTGTCCTCAACAAGTCCCCCGAAGAGTCCAGGGTGGTCTCAACGCCCCAACCCTGGGGAGCGCAGCGCCCCAGTGGCGCCGCCGGAGGCAGCGCCAGGGTGTGGGGATTGCCCTGGACCATGTGGGGGGGCATGTTGAGGCCAGCGGGGACTACCTGGGGCTATCTGCGCGCAGCCCGAAGCCTTACCACTCCTCCTCGTCCCTCCTCAGGAGCCCGAGTGGCCATGCATGATGCCGGCGGCCAGGTTCTCCTCGGCCGTCCAACCAGATTTGGGCAGGCACCCGCGCTAACCTGCGGATGGGGGGGGCCGCCGGCGACGCCCGCGGCAGCCAGTTGCCACGGGTACCTCGCGGAGCGTGCCTGCGCGCGCAAGGGGCTGGAAAAGAGCGGGAGAGAGGCTAGTCAGAGAGCCAGATATCCGACGATATCATATTTCAGTCCCATCCTTCTTCTTCGATTTGGGCGTCCAGGGCCCGTCTTTGGGCCCTGGGGTCATCAGAAATAGGTATGGGAAGGAGTCGGTACCTCCTGGATTTCCGAGGAAGCGGGCTTCAAGAGAGGACTGTGCCAGAACACCAGGAAGCTGGACACACGACGCGTCCGGCCTGGGCGAGAGCTGGATAGCTACAGCTACACCATGTGGCCAGGTGCTTCCGCGCTTGGCCTTTTATGTAGCCAAGGTCGCCAGGCTTCCTCGTGTGCATCCAGCGTGCGGCCTCTAGATGTTCAGCAGGTACATCCACCCAAGCGTGCTACCAGCTTCTTGGTACGCCCCCGACGCGGTCGACCGCATGCCGAGGCCGCTCTTTGCAACCCGGCGCGCCACCCGCGCCGAGGCCCCAGCAGGTGTCATGTGTTAGAACGCCGCCGCTCGCTTGTGCTTTGGCGGGGAAGAATTTGGCCTAGCGCCACAAGGCCAGCACTTGCCAACCTCGGGCGGCGGCTGACCGCTTGTGGCCTTCTGAGTGGAAGAGCAGCGTTGGCAACGAACAGAAAGGGAGGAAGGAGAGGAGGAGGAGGAGGAGGAGGAGGAGGAGGAGGATGGCGAGGATTATGCTTATGATGCTGCTGATGCTGATGCTGATGATGAGGCTGATGATGATGATGATGATGCTGATGCTGTTGATGATGCTGGTGATGGTGATGATGATGATGAGGAGGAGGAGGTGGAGGAAGAGGTGCGTGCCCTTCTCGTCGCGCTCTCGTCGTATCTCATGGAATGTGTGGGCGTGTGTCGTCAGACAACGCTTCCGCCGCACGAGGAGAAGGAGAAGGACGAGGAGAAGGAGGAGGAGGAGGATGAGGAAGAGGAGGAAGAGGAGGCAGCGCACTGCGCGAGATCGGCCAGGCGCATCCATACCGTGGACGGTGTCCTGTGGCCATATCCCTCGCAGTTCTCGCGGCTGCACATGGTTGTGTCTTTCGTCAGGCTTAGTTTGACCCTCCAAATCTGCCTGTAGGAAGACATGCCCTACTTAAATCTAGGAGGCCTCCTCTGGAGTCGTTCGATCGGGTGATACGCATCGTTGACATTCCTGCCCGGGGGGGGGGACACCCCGAGTCCTCGCCGTGCGCACGCGCTCCCGGAGGCTCGCGCCTCACGTGACGGCTGCGCGCTTTCCTGCTCACAGCGGAAGTAGGCGCACACAGTCAACCCGCACAGTGAGGATGGACAACCTTCTCAAGGGTACCCTTGCATCCTTGCCCCTTCGGCCCATCCCTGGCAACTTTCGCTGGCCAGCCCCGCTCGGCAAGAACGTCAACCTGGGCCTTCCAATGCCCCTGCACTCTCGTCGTGCGTCCTTCTGATATGGGTTGACTGCACTCTGGTCTTCCGCAGCTTGCTGCATCGCAGCGTGAGCAAGCCTGCCTCCGACGAAGGCATCTATACACCACCACCGTGCCAGGCCAGGGCCATCCTGCGCTCCAGGATGGTGTATACGCCCTCCTGGCCGAGGCCAGGAGGGTCTATACACCATCCTGGGGCCCAGGATGGCCCTGGCCTGGCACGGTGGTGGTGTATAGATAGATGCTTTCTGCGTACACCGATCACGAAGCGCTGCTTTCGGGATGCCACCGGGCGTTGGTGTCCTCGACTTCTCAGTTCTGCCCAAACGGGCCGGGGAGCCTCCGGAGCTGCGCACCGGCCCGAGCGTCACGAACTGGATCACCGCTCTGCCAGAGCATGGGATGTGGTGCTTCTGCCGGCCCGGCGGCACCTGCTCAGCAGCCGCCCGCGGCATGCCCGGCCGTGACCGTGGGCGCCGTGCCGGGCCAGGTGGGCTCGCAGCCGTACCAGCCCGCGTGCCAAATGCAGATGGGATCGCAGCCGTACCAAGCGGGCGCCCCTACCGTTGCGGCCGGCCGTGGCGATGCCCTGCTCGAGTTCTTGAGAGGTCTTGGCGTGCGGGACACCGGAACGGCCGCGGCCGCGCTGCAGAGCGCGGGCATCTCTGCACCCGGCGATTTCTTCAACCTCGACAAGGACATGCGCCAAGAGCTCGACGAGGAGCTGAAGAGAGGGGGCGTCACCCTCGGGGACCGCGCCAAGATCAAGAAGGCCGAGCAGGGGGCGAAGGTGCAGCAGGGCAACGGAACAGTAAGCGTAACGATGCTGAAGGTTGGGGAGGCAATGCAGGCGGCGAGTTCGCTGGAGCGTGTGTTTTTGGGACTGGGTTGGAAAGAGCGTCCTGGGCTTAGCAAGTCCATTGATGTGGATGCGAGCTGTATCGGCTTCAGCAGCGGGGCACCCGTGGAGACGATCTCCTTTAAGAATCTCCGCAACGTTTCGCGTAGTCTGGTACACACTGGAGACGTGCTCTCAGGACAGCCTCCAGACGGAAAGAGGGTAGCCGATTTGGAGAGAATGTACGTTTGGCTCTCGAAGATTCCTTCCCACATTGACAGTCTGGTGTTCGTTGCAAACGTGTACACTCAGGGGGCTGATTTCGCGGAGCTGTCGGATGCATATATCCGATTGGTCAACGCAGATACCAATCAGGAAGTGTCTCGGTTCCCGTTGGCAGGCACCGGTCTGAAAGGGAACGCTTTGGTCTTTGCGAAGCTCTACAGATACGGTCAGCACGGGCCCTGGCAGCTGCTCGCTCTCGGCCAGCCGCTGACCGTGCCAGGGTGTTCTTCGATCGATCAGATGTACCCGCAATTGCAGTCTTCAGGCAGTGCGTTACCGTACTCGCCAAACGGCTACAGTCATGCGTCGCAGCTTCCTGGCGCCCCGCAGCACGGCTTTCAGTCCGCAGCGCAGGCTCCGAACGTCAAACTCGCTGCGAGATGTCACTTCCTTGAAATCGTTTTCATACTTACCTGTTCGCTATATTTCTAGCGTGGACCCTAAACAGTGGATCGTTCCACTCTCGATGTGCTCCTTATGCAGCGCAACTCCGCTGAGTGCAGTCTACGCGGTGCAGTATATAGGTTGCTGCGTTCGTTGTGAAATTCATGCGGTGCAATAGGATGAGCAACTTTCCAAGGTTACCCTTGCATCTTTCCCCTTCGACCCATCCTTGGCCGCTTTCGCTGGCCGCGCCCCGCTCGCAAAGTGTCGACATGGCTTTTCAAGGCCCTTGCATCCTTATCGTGCGTTCTTCGTATACGGGTTGACTGTATGTGGAATGCGCTATCTAATGGTGCCTGGGTTGTGGGTATGAAACCGATTGGATGTTCTTGCGATCTTCTGAGAGGCCTTTGGAGGCCTCTTGGGGGCCGTTTTGGGGCCGCCTGTGGGGGATTTGGGGGCCTCGTGGGGCCTTGTTGGGTCCTCTGGGGGGCTTCTCGGGGCCTCTTGGGGGCCTCTTGGGAGCCTCTGGGGCCTCCTGGGCGCCTCTTGGGGCCTCTTAGGGCGAAAGGCTCGGATATTCGGTTCGTGTTCCCTCTCTTGGGCCCCTTTTGGGGTCGTGCAGGCCCCAACGAGCTCCCATGACCCGCCCCAGAGGTACGCAGCGTCGAAGACGGCCCCGAGAGGCCCTCAAGAGTTCCCAAGAGCCCCCCACGATGCCCCCAAGAGGCCCCAAGAGTGCTCCAAGACGCCCCAAAGAGGCGTCCCGAGCGGCTCTTGGGGGCATGCGCAAGCCTCGGAAGCGCATCGGAGGCGGAAATGCGAGAATACTAAAATCATACATGCCCCTTAGGTTGTTCACTGAGTGTTAAGGCCTTACGGCCGGTGCCGCCGACCCACAAGGACGACGACCACGACCAAAAACGACGACCACAACGACAACGACAGCGACGAGCTGATGACCCTACCACAAACTCGGGACATTGGGCGGGCGGTGGAGGGAGGAGGAGGATGAGGAAGAGGAGGAGGAGGAGGAGGAGGAGGAGGAAGAGGAGGAGGAGGAGGAGGAGGAGGGGCAGGGGGGAGGGGGAGGAGCAAGAGGAGGAGGAGGAGGAGGAGAAGGAGGAGGAGGGCAGGGGGAGAGGGAGGGGGATGGGCAGGAGGAGGAGGAGGAGGAGGAGGAGGAGGAGGGAGGAGGAGAGGAGGAGGAGGAGGAGGAGGAGGAGGAGGAGGAGGAGGAGCAGCAGCAGCAGCAGCAGCAGCAGCAGCAGCAGGGGGAGGAGAAGAGGAGGAGAAAGAAAAGGAGGAGGAGGAGGAGGAGGAGGAGGAGGAGGAGAAGGAAGAGGAGGAGAAGGAGGAAGAGGAGGAGGGAGGAGGAGGAGGAGGAGGAGGAGGAGGAGGAGGAGGAGGAGGAGGAGGAGGAGGAGGAGGAGGAGGGGCAGGGGGAGCGGCAGGAGGAGGGGCACTATAGAACGATTCTCGCCCACCGGCACCGGCACCGGCACCGGCACCGGCACCGGCACCGGCACCGGCACCGGCACCGGCACCGGCACCGGCACCGGCACCGGCACCGGCACCGGCACCGGCACCGGCACCGGCACCGGCACCGGCACCGGCACCGGCACCGGCACCGGCACTGGCACCGGCACCGGCACCGGCACCGGCACCGGCACCGGCACCGGCACCGGCACGGGCACCGGCACCGGCACCGGCACCGGCACCGGCGCCTGCGCCGGCGGCATTGGCACAGGCACGGGCACCAGCGCCGTCGCCGGCGGCAGCACCGGCACTGGCACCCGCACCCGCAACCGCACCGGCACCAGCCCTGCCATGGCACCAGCACCGGCACCGGCACCGGCGCCGGCGCCAGCACTGGCACCGGATGAAAAACATCATTGACATTGAACATCATGACATTTTCCAAACAGTGCTTGCACTTAGGGTGCCTTCCCTCTTCTTTCCTAGTATTAGCTGGGTCGTCTGAGGGGCGGTCTGGCGGCTCTCTCCTCCTCGGCGTTGCCGCCCTGTCGCCGCCCGTCGTCGTCTGGGCTTGAGGGGCGGTCTGGTTTTCCGTCCTTGCCGTCGCCCCCCCTTGCTGCGTCGTCGCCGCCCGTCGTCTTGGCCTGAGGGTCGGTCTGGCGGTTCCTTGCTCGTCGCCGTCACCGTCCCGTCGCCGCCTCCTCGTCGCTGCCTTGTGCGCCCCCCCAGCGGTTGCAATCCAATCGGTTGCAAGCCAATCAAGTGCAAACCCAGTGGAATCGATTGCAGTCCAATCAATGGTAAAATTATGCAAACGCAGTTCCCCACATAAAAAATATTAACCGTTTCGTGGGACCCATGGGGTACGACAACATCAACACGAAGGAGAAGCTCATCGAACGAGTAAGTACGCACGAAAGGGCAGACGAAAGAAAGGAGGAGGGAGGACAGGTGCTCAGGAAACGAAGCCTTGTAAATTGTACGGGTTGTTGATACCCTCTTCGCTCTGGCGGGGCCCCGCTGGAAGGGGGGAGGCCTACGAAACCTGGTAAAGAGTAATGCTGTCCGCGACCCTCCTCGTTCAAGCGAGTCCTCCTCCTCCTCCTCCTCGTCGTCCTGCTCCTCCTCGTCCTCCTCATCCTCGGCATCATCATCATCATCATCATCATCATCATCATCACCAGCATCACCGTCGTCATCATCAGCATCATCAGCAGCATCGTCGTCACCCCGTCGTCGTCGTCGTCGTCATCATCAGCATCATCGTCATCATCATCAATATCAACATCATCAACATCATCATCATCGTCAGCATCATCGGCATCATCATAACCATCATCATCATCCTCATCATCATCATCAGCGTCATCATCATCGCCAGCGTCATCGTCATCATCATCATCATCGTCGTCGCCACCATCGTCATCATCATCATCATGATCAGCAGCATCATCAGCATCGTCATCATCATCACCAGTACCGTCCTTGGCATCATCATCGTCCGCATCATCGTGGACGTCATGATCATCAGCATCATCGTCGTCATCATCAACAACAGCACCGGCAACGTCAGCATCAGCAGCAGCATCGTCATCATCACCAGCATCTGCATCATCATCCTCGTCGTCGTCGCCATCGTTGCCATCATCGTCATCGTCATCATCATCGTCATCATCATCAGCATCATCATCATAATCACCCTTATCGCCATCGTCATCGTCCATCACCATTATCGCCATCGTCATCGTCATCGTGAACAGCAGTATAACCATCGTCATCGCCATCATCATGATGAAGCCTTCCTCATCGCAGAACTCCCCCTCCTCCTCACCCTCAGTGGGAGGAGTAGGACGTGAGATGGATAGGTAATGTTCTCCCCTCCTCCTCACCCATGTCAGTGGGAGGGGCACGAAACCATTTAAATAGTATGGGTTTCCGATGCCCTCCTCGCTCAGACGGGGCCACCCTGGAGAGGTGGTAGGGGCACGAAACCATGTAAATAGCATGGGTTTCCGATACCCTCCTCGCTCAGGCGGGGCCTCCCTGGAGGGGTGGGAGGGGCACGAAACCATGTAAATAACATGGGTTTCCGATACCCTCCTCGCTCAGGCGGGGCGTCCTTAGAGAGGTGGGAAGGGCACGACAGGCGGATGGAGAGGGCACGAAACCATGTAAATAGTATGGGTTTCCGATACCCTCCTCGCTCAGGCGGGGCCTCCCTGGAGGGGTGGGAGGAGCACGAAACCATGTAATCTTTATGAATTTCCGATACCTTCCTCGCTCAGGCAGGGCCTCCATGGAGAGGTGGGAAGGGCACCAAACCATGTAAATAGTACGGGTTCCCGATTTCCTCCTCGCTCAGGCGGGGCCTCCCTGGAGGGGAGGGAGGGGCACGAAACCATTTAAATAGTATGGGTTTCCGATACCCTCCTCGCTCAGTCAGGCGGAGTCTCCCTGCTGGAGGGGTGGGATACCCTCCTCGCTCAGGCGGGGCCTCCCTGGAGAGGTGGGAAGGGCACGAAACCATGTAAATAGTATGGGTTTCCGTTACCCTCCTCGCTCAGGCGGGGCTTCCCTGGAGGGGCGGGAGTGGCATTGCTGGGAGGCGGGCGGCGGGAGGGAGAAGGAGAGGACGTTCTGGGAAAACAAGAACCCGCACCAGCACCGGCCACCGGCACCAGCACCGGCACCGGCACCGGCACCGGCCCCGGCGCTGGCACCAGCACCGGCTACCGGCCACCGGCACCGGCCACCAGCACCGGCACCAGCACCGGCACCGGCACCGGCACCGGCACCGGCACCGGCACTGGCACCGGCACCGGCACCGGCACCGGCACCGGCACCGGCACCGGCACCGGCACCAGCACCGGCACCGGCACCGGCACCGGCAACGGCACCGGCACCGGCACCGGCACGGCACCGGCACCGGCAACCCGCACCGCACCGCACGGCACCGCACCGGCACCGGGCACCGGGCACCACCACGGCACGGCACCGGACCGGCACCGGCACCGGCACCGGCACCGGCAACGGCACACGGAGGAGGAGGAGGAGGAGGAGGAAGGGGAGGAGGAGGAGGTTGGGGAGGGGGAGAGCCGTGTCCCTCCTCGGGGGCGGGCATCTGGGAGGCGACGGGGCCGGGGCCTGGGCCGGGGCCTCGGCCGAGGGCGGCCGGGGCGGGGGGGCCAGGGCCGTGGCCGTGGCCGGCAAGGCAGGGGGACAGGGCTGGAGCCAGGGCCAGGGCCAGAGCCGAAGCCGGGCCGAGGCCAGGACGGGGGTCCAGGGGCTGGGGCTGGGGGCCGGGGCTGGGGCCAGGACGGGGGCCAGGGCCGGGGCCGAGGTGGGGGGAGGGGGGGTGTTCTGAGGTCCCCTGCCGACAGGGAGACTAAATGTCCCATTTGTCCTTCTTCTCCACAGGGAACACCGCCCAGGGGAAGGGGAGGGAGGGCTGCCAGAACCTTGAGGGGGCGTAATCTGACCTGGGACCCCCC